GTACACTTGTCTAATAGTTCATTATAGATACGTCTATATAAAACATGTACCTGCTATAAGTATTAATAAAAAGCTCAAACCAAAGAGGTCACCTTAATACCGAAAAAAAAAATAAGTTATAAATTATATTTAAAGGATTGGGCTCTATAGCTTAATAATAAAACTACTAATTTATTATAAACTAGGTTAACAGTTTAAGATAGACTAGTGATAAAATCTTAGAATTTTAATTCTATAATTTAAACAGAATAGCATTAACATTTCTGTATCTAATTTATAAAATATTTAATTAAAAAAGTAATATTAAGTAATTATATTAGAGTGATAAGTAATATGATGCATACAGAAAAGATTTGTAACAAAGAATTAATCTAATCAGAATTAGAAATCTTAGACAAGTACTTCAAAAGTACTTGAAAAATATTCCTCAAAACAGACATACATCATAACTTAAATAATAGATATCATATCTGTATATAATAAGTCAAGGTTATAAACCTTCTTGTAATACCAAGTTAATAATATATCAGTATGTAGTCAATGATACACCTATAAGAAAACCTGCAGGAAGCATATATAATTAAGCTGCAGACTAAACCAACTATAGAAGTATATTTGAAAAAGATATAGTAAACTAAAGATTGATAATTCAAATCTCAATAAATTCAACTGTGCTAATAAAGTACTAGAAAGTATATATAATTGTATATACCAAACTGGTAGCAAGGAAAGCAAAAAAATATTAGAGTCAACTAATTTGAAAAAAGAAAGGATTACTGCAGATAGTAGACAGATGAACTGTTATTGGGCTAAAGGTAAGAGAAAATTCAGATATAACAAGATGATCTACAACCTTTTTAGTAGTTTAGTAATGATGATTGAAATACATAATAAAAGCTATAAAAAGATACATAGAAAAATGTAAGTGTAATGTCATATTGGATGTCTAGAGCTAAAAGTAATCTGGTACAAATATAGTATAATATAACTATATATATAATAGTAATACAAAAACTAAATAAAATATAAGTTATGATTTGGTATTATAAAAAAAAATAAAATAAAAAATTTTATATTTATATTTATAATTTTATATATATTTTTTTTTGAATTTGTGCAAGTATATATATAATTAGTTGAAATCTTTAGTATATTTGTAAGTACTATAATAGTAAGTAAATTATCAGAATCTAAAAATATTATTATTACAGTAAAACCTTCCTAAGTGCATCCTTACTAAATGCGCCTTCTTTAAGTACACACCTTCTTTAAATATACACTAAAACTTAGCTCCAAGCTTGGAACTTAATTCTAAATGCATCCTCCAACCTTTGCATGTGCATAAGATTTTACAGCTCGGACTATATGTGCACCCTCTATAAATGCACGCACATGACTAAAATAAACGTTTACCAATTAAAATAGTAAATTTGTCGGATATTCTTGAAGAGGTGGATAATAAATCAACACAAAAGGTTATTGGAAAGACTCGGAATATTATTAATTGTAGTTACAGAGTAAAAAGAAATACTAATTCTATAAATGCGTACCCTTTCTAAGTGCACACTATATCCCGGTCCCAAGGGTGTACACTTAGTAAGGTTTCACTGTATTAATTCATTAACTGTTTTTTAACAAACCATTTTTACTAATAATTAATCATATTTTATATTTTCTCTTTCATTTATGCAAATTTAATCTGTAAATATCTCTGATCTGACTGCCTCACACCATTTAATCTGAACTTACAATGGTTCTCGTTTTCCTAGTTATTACTATAGTTTACAACACATGTTACAGTTAAGAAAGTAACTAACTTTAATATATTAATGTAATACATTTCAGATTGGACAGAACTTTCCTATTATTTGAACTTGAGTTTACTTTAAATCATTAGAAAATAATTAACCAGGTGTCTAAAAATCTTAACAAAAAGTAATTTAATGATCTATAATACTTTCAAATGCTAGCCAAGAGAAATAATAATTTAGGGTGCTCTTTCATTAATAATTCTACACCTAAATCTTAACCCTAAAAAAAAGAGGCCCCAAAAAATTTTAAATTTGATGTGATTGGTTTAATTTATACATGTAATCTAAGCATGATCAAAGATTTAATGCGCGATCATTTTACTTTTTATTCATCGTACTTGCATTTCGTATGGGCGAAAATTGTTGATGGGAATATCGCGATCATTAAAAATTAAGTGATACAATAGAACACTCCGAATAATAAAAATGTATTATACAGCATCACTATATCAAAATATTAATAAGCAAGTATACAATTAACCAATCAAATACAAATAAAAATGTTTAAATTTAATCATGTATTCATAAACGGTTTCATAAACTCAGAAGACATTAGCCAATCATACAATTTCATACATTTCATTTATTTATAATCACCAAAACCACCCATACGTATACTCAACGGTTACACGAGTGTTTCAAAATTTTAAATGACTATACCTTTTTATCTAAGAGGCTTTAAAAAAATCCACCATGTAACTTTATAGAGCTGTATCAACTCTACATATGTGCCAAATATCTTTTCAAAATCTCATCATTGTAAAGAGTTGATGCATTTTGAAAATTTTATATGTAAATTTATACATCATATATAAAATTTCAATTTTCAAAACGCATCAACTCTTTACAATGATAAGATTTTGGAAAGATATACATATGTAGAGCTGATATAGTTCTATAAAGTTACCAGGTGGATTTTTTTAAAATCTCTTAGATAAAAAGTTATGGTCATTTAAAAATTTGTAACACTTCGTGTAACCGTTGAGGATAGGCTTCCAGCACCATACAAGTTTTAAATTCTTTTATGATTTAAAATTTCTTACATGTGCAGGCAAGAGTCTATTAAAAGTAATACCTAATGTTTAAAGGTTCTCCAATATCTTAAACATAGCGGTTACAAGGAAGCAGAGATGTTGTTATTAATTACGTGTATAAATTGTCATATCATTAAAAAAAAAAGGCGTAACATCTGAAAGTCATTTTCAGAAGGACATTAAACCCGCCAAAGTTAGTCAACATTAGTTATAATGCAGGCTGATTTTGTCATGATTATATGCCTTTTTTTGAAAAATTCCTTTCAGAAAATCTGAAATTCGTTTAATTATGCTTGCTTTAGGATTTTTGACACGTCAAACATTTGTCCTTCAGGCATCTTTATTATTAACACCACTTTATCGTTATATCTTTATTCTATTAATATTAATATAAACTGCCATCCTATAACACCCATCAATAGCAACCAAGTGTTCAATGTCATGCAAAATTAGAATGTATATAAAAACCACCAAAGCAAAAAAATTACATAATGTCTGAGTAATAGTAAAATAAATATTCAATAAAACATTACACCCCATGAAGTAACATTCCTTGAGCAGGAACATCATTTCCGTTTGATGTAACCGTAGACCCATTAGTTTCAAACATCATCGAATTTAGAGTTGGCATTATGTTCATTCCATTAATACATTTATTAGGAGCAATTCCCTCAAAATATTCTGACATCAAGCATGTCTCCACTAATCTTTGTGTCGTTTGTGGTACTGGTTTAAAATGTTCAGTAGAAGCACCACTTAAATCTGAAAGCAAATTATAAATCTGACGTTGTTTATAAGGGTGCCGACATAATTGTGTATTGGTAATAAGTGGATATAGTACTCGAAGATACGTATGTCGAAGCTAAAAAAAACAATATATATATATATAAAGGAAAATACGATATTGATATACAGTATCGTGAAAATCTATAAATTCTTACCGCTTCACTCTCCTCTGGTAAATCGTAAAGTTCTCGAATGAAAACATCAATCACCACACGTAAGTCATTTGTATAAAAATATTCAGTTGTTTCTGGTGTAGTGAACACCTCATATAGCAACTTTAGAATAAGCATTTGTATATGCGGTTCAACTTTTGGTTTTTTTTTTTTTTTTTAATAATCTTAGCTTTTTTCAAATCACATTTAAAAGTTGAATGTTAAAAGAAGTTCAAATCTTACCTGCACGATTAAACATGAATATTATATTTTCTCCAAAAGTTTTACTAGTTCCGATACGTGCAAACAACACTCTTATCAGAGTATTATGATTTAAATCATTATCTTCATCATTGATCATTCCGTGAACAGCTAGCATAAATTGTTCATTTAACGACAACTAATGGAAATAAGATTAAGAATGTCATGTAGTAAATATACATTACATCAAATGATATAGATATTAATTTTTTTTCCTGGAGAGATAAATGACACTTACCATTAAATGGATAACAGAATAATTAAAAGTCTCATCTTCTTCATCTCTTGTATTCTCCACCAAGTTAAGGAGGTAGTCAAAAAATTGATCATCAAAAACACCTATAATGTATTGAAATATTGAATTAAAATAGGAATGAATTGAAAGAAACAAGTGTCATCACGCATTGTCAAACATTAAATAAATTACTTAGTTCATTTTGTGATATACGCTGACCGCGACAAATTTCAAATAATAGATTCACTGCAATTTGTTGCACCCTATGCCCTAATTACATATAATAAGGAAAATGGTTTGTCTTTTTTAATTATTTTACATGTTGGACAATATACATGTACAAACCTTCGTCTAAATTACAAATATGCTCCTTCAGCTTCAAAATAAAGTCATGCCCTTGAGAACTAATCATTAATTTAAATATCATAGGATTATTTTTGCCCGAGAGGTATAAAATATTATAGATAACCCATAATTCTTTCAATTCATTGCATATTGTTGCTCGAAACATCATATGTTCAATTATTATGTCAGAAAATGTCTGATACATTGATGAATTCAAAAGATTATAGAAACATTGCGTTAATTGCGAGTCTGTTTCCAAATATTCATCTACATAATATAAAATAAGATCGTTTTAATTACAAGATACAACAACAAAAATAAACTATATAAAGAACAGATTATATCACCTTGAAATTTTAAGACAAAATTGATGTATGTATCTATCGACCTTTTTGCAATGTCTTGATTTTGTTGACCTTGGGCCAAAATGTCATCTAATTCTGAACCAAACAAATTAGGTAAATTTAAGATGCAGGAAAACCATAAAATGGAATTAACGAATTTAATTCTACTTACCAATCCAAAATTGTTCAGGACTTTCCAAATGATAGATTATGTCGTCATGCATTGTGTGACAACTGGTTTTTCGAACAAGCGTAAAAGATATTTTTGTGAATAAGAATTTTTTTTTATCTTAAGATTTGAAAAGTAAAATGACATTTTTTTCAGAGTCAAAAATGTTTTAAAATAGTTTAGTTGTTCTAACAATAGATTCAATTTAAACTATTTAGCCCACGTGAGGCTGTTGAATGATCCAAACAAGGTTAGACAAAACGACTTATTTTGACCCCAGTTAAAGGCGAAAAAAATCGATAACTTGAAGTGAAAAATTCCAATTTAATATTGGAATAGGCTGATACATAAATTTTTCAATGCAATGACTTACCGAGAAAATTAAATGTGAATGTATTAAAAAATTCTTTTAAAAAGGTTTATTAATCACCTTTTCGAAAAGATATATAAAGGATAGAATGTCGAAAAGATATAAAAGATGAAACCAAGAGCAAATTGTTTGGAATCCAAAAAAAATAGTAAGTTTATACCAAGCCTGTTTTTTAATAACAATTAAGAATTTAAGAATTTAAAGGATGGAAACAAAGGATGAAAAGACCGAACCATAACGCTAATACTATTATATTAAATAGTCAATATTGCCTTATTGGTTCATAAGAATGTTCCCGAAGATCTCCGCAACACAGCAGTAACATTTGGATATATTTGAACGTTAAAAAAATTCGTACTTATGTACAGTATGCACATATCATGAATTTATAAATGCTAACGCATATATTATATCACATGCTACATTAGTTATTATAGCACGCACTTACATTAAAATACTTCCAAAGACAATATGCGTCAAGAACAATCAATAACTATATATATTCTGAAGATAAGAATACTACATTAACACTATCTAAACCCTAATAACGAAAGGTTTCGATAGAGTCGTGAAAAGACTTGGTCTCCAATATAGCAGATATAGAGTTAAGGGGTTAATATTAATTGGATTCTTTACTAATTGGAAGAATTATAAACTTTTCAGGTGTTGAACTATAACTGGTTTACTTTATTCAGGATATAATTGTTTGTTCTTAAATACATTTTTCAAGGTATAATTTACTATCACATTTCCGCATATCGATATATAATATATCCGCATTTGTTATTTCTACTTTTCCCTTATATCGACCATAGTATGCCAGATATGGGAGAATCAACCCGGAGCTCGTTTCACTTTCATATACTAAGGTGTCTAATGCAAGTATAATTACATAGGTAGTATTAATTAGCGATTATGAATAATGAAAACATACAAAACTCCTGAAACAGTAAATGTACACAAATAAAATTACATTTACATATTAAATTTCTCTTTACCGTATTTTTTAGCATAATAAATCTCTATTTTGCTTAGAATTATTTTATTTAAGGACTAATTTTTTTATACCGTATTCCTCACTCATAATGCTGGCACGGTTATTGTAAAGCGAACCAAAGTTGACATATTTTCGAAGGAATTCGGTATTAGTAAAAATAAAAGAGTTTTAATACTTTAATAAAGAACACGCATTAAAGAAATATGATAAATGTAATTTATATATATATCTTTATCGTTTTCGTAGGTGATATTGACATTTGGATTCCATATGTTTTACTATTTACAGTCTAATTAATAAAAATGATTATGATTGCTGTAAGTGGAATTTTTTAATTTGTACATAAAATTATAACTTTAGGTAAGTAGAATTTCTTAATAAGATTATAACATTAGAGTAGAATTTATTTAATCATCATATTAATCTACCCCTTAGCCCTATAATCTTAAATTTCAAATCCGGGAAGTGTCTAAAGCCATGTGTGGTCATATAGCTTTAATTATTTAATTAAAATTATGGCAGAGTTAGTCCGTGGTTAGGGTTGGCAAGTATAATTAAATATTCCACGGCCCTATATGGGGTGTGATCTATTAAAACAGCCCATTTTTACAAATTTTCAAAAATTTTTTTTTATTTGATTTTTGAATAGATATATATTCAACAAAAAAGTTTGTTTTAAATTACCAAAGCCAATTATATAATAAAAAGGTTCACTAAATGAACTTTAAGTTGAAAATTTTATATTCATTATTATTTGTAGATCATTATTTAAAATCGATTTACTCAAAATTGTTTATATGTAAAAATGGGCTGTTTTAATAGATCACACCCCATATGTTCGCCCTTTTTTATGATGATGTAATGCCGTGAAAATATCAAAAATTATTCCACAGGCATGACATCAGTAAAAATTTTTAATCAGAAATGTTATGAGCATAGGACTATGAAATATAACAGATATTCTACGGTGTGCCGTGACATCATGCATTACCACGGCTAATTCATGATACGTATTCACAACAGTCCGTGGAATATCTATTGCATAGATCACACAATAATTTGTAGATAGTTATTTTAAACTCGGATGGCCGAAAAGTTATTTATGATTGTGACCTCAATTAGTAGTAACGCTGGATTTACTCATTTTGAATCGGTTTACTTTCATTATTGCAATAAGCGACAAAATACTTTAAAACATAAGTTATCCGACAAACTCGTCTTACGTTTACTCGAATTAAAACTCAGCCGACAACCCCCCTGCCAATCATGATCATAAATTTCGGATAACACCAAATTTTGAATAACGGTAATTTGGCTCTACCGGGCAAATGATTGGCTGACACGCGCCGAGAAGCGGCACATGTTCATTTGTCATTCAAAAACTTTTGCCGAATAATGAATACGTACTTATCCAGTATTCCTGATTAGAATTGGCCAATCAGAAGTCACAGGAACTCCTATTCTACCATTGGAAGCTTATTATATCTCTAATTCGTACGTACGTAGCTAACGACCCTAGCATCACCTACAAAAAATGATAGTCGGATTTGATCGTTGGCAATTTTGATTACAAATCAAAAATGTCTTTTATGCGTTTGTTTTTTACAGATTTGGTTTGTACCGTGGTTTTTTTTTTTAAATTCTTTTTTAATTATAAGTGAATTTAAATAAAAAAAGTTGATATATATATACTGTATGTTTTTTTTACCATGTTAGACCAATAGGCTAAATTTTATTCAAAATTTTTTGAATGAAAAAGGGATCAAATTAAAAAAGTACTTACAATGGCAAAATAAAATTACATTATATAGTCTAAGAATAATCAAAAACAACTAACATAATATACAGAAATTTCACTCATTATAATTTTTGAATTATTAGTTCAGCATTATAAGCATTTTTTATAATATTAAGTATAAAACACTTTTTGCAATATTAAGTACAAAATATTTTTTGCAAGCTTTAATTCAGTAATTTAACATAGTAAAAAAAACTATTTTAAAATTTTGATTTGAATTTGCTTATAAGTATAATTAACAATTATATAAACATAAAGAAAAAATTATAAAACAATTTGATTATATTTATTATTTGATAACAATTATAAAATAATTTAAAAGAATTTATATATAAAAGTTCAAAAAATGAAAATATATATAAAGATTCTAATTTTGAAAAATTTTATAATTAAGGATTCTAATAACTTGCATTATATTATTATTGATCTTTAAACATTATTACTATATATATATTACTTTATACATTTTATATTCTAATATCTGTTTTGCTTAATGAAACCTTTTTTTTACTTAAAATACAGTTTAATATGATATTTATCAATATTATAATGTTTATTTGGTTTCAAACTAATAAGTTTATTTTATATCAAGACTAATTGTAAAACATAACTCATATTTCGTAAAGTTATATACATTAACCAAAGATATCTAAAATTATAAAAACTTATTTTACATTTATATAATTTTAAATGTTAAAAACTTATTGTTAAATTCGAAGCGACAGACTTATATTCCACGCCCTTTGATAACCAAAAGGTCGTTTTTGATTCATTTATATTAAAAATATCAAACATTAATTTTGTCATTTTCTGGATGTCACGCCATGTTTTTATATAATAAAGTCAAATTTTACTAAGTAAATTGATTATGCTATTAAGTAAAGTTGTTCAGATCAAAATACATATATCCTGAAATTTATATACAAATAGGACAATTTTTTACGAATATGCTTTTCATTTATATTCAAAAAAATCAATTAAAATTTTTTTTATAAATTTATATTTAGTGACTGTAAAAAGTAAATATCAAATAATAAAAATTATCGTAATTGTATAAAAATTTCAGGGTATATGTATTTTGATCTCTTGAACAAATTTACTTAGTAACATATAGGGCTATGCAAAATTAATTAAGAGGTAAATCGTGGTTAAAAGGTATAAAAATAGCAAATTTAATAGTAAAAATTGTTGAAAGTTGGTTTTTCTATAAGGTTGGAATGCAACTAGCTTACAATGAAAAGTTTTTTTTTATGCCAAGTAAACCTTCCTTGAGTTTCTAACAAAGATTATAGAACAAGTCATTCTGGTTCTAATAGTGGTAGAATTATTCAAATTGGTTCGGTAGATCGCGAGCTATTGACATTTTCTCCTTTATAACTATATGATTTTTACATAATGTCAGAAACTTTCGGCATTCCAACACTATATGAAAGTAATAGTAATTTTCCGCCGATTGTTACTATGAAATTTATACCCTTCAACTGTGATCTACCACTTAAATGATTTTTATAACCCGGCCGGGTCAAAATTTGAAAACTTGTAAAAAAATTTTTTTGTTTTAATAGCCGGGTCTGTTTAAAAGTTTTGTTATGAAAATCAATATATTAGATTTGTGTGACCTAATTGATTTTGCTAGAGTACTTATTATAAATTAATTAAAAAAACAGGCCCTTAATTGTAATATTTTTCAAAATTTGAGCCTTTATATCTGTATATGTAATATTTTCACTTTGGGACTTATATATATTTAATTGTTTTATTTTCCGGGCTCCTATATGAAATTCCCTAAGTATAATATTTATATATTAAAACAGTAAATATAGGAAAGACATTTTCTAGTTAGTGATTGAAATTGAATTGTCGATAATCACATAATCACATGTACCCGGCAGATTCGTCCGGCTATGGGAGTAGCTTTGAAGTCACGAGACATGATTTGCTATGTTTCGTAACTTGATTTTCCCAATAATCTACCTCGATTACGTAATATATATTACAAGATGAGTTTAAGTCCATAATTAAACGTCTTACGATTGGAAAAATTTTAATCATTCGATTCTAATCGGTGCGTCAATTTAGACATTGTTTCACAATATTGTTTTTAATACGTGCTTACCATTCGATAAGAATCATAAGTACATACGTACATACCAAAATCATTCGATTCTTGTAGATAGATATAAGTGGCGTCAAACCGGGCTTCAGGCTTTCGAGTTTATTATTTACCAGACTCAGCCTGACAGACGAAATATGATTAAGGATTGAGTCTGATAATAAACTTGAAAGCCTGAATTCTGGTTTCACTCATTAGCGTTAGTCGCGGTTGTTGTTATCCAAAATCACATGATACGTATTTTTTCTTATACGCAACTAGCATTAGCTCAAGTGAATTAACACATATCATTTATCGTTGTTGTATCAGTATTGTATTAATTATCCAAAATGTGCGATTCCATCATTTCTTAAACAGGATTTGGAATTTGCACCAGAATAAAAAAATTTCGGTTACTATGACAAAAACCACCAGTTTATAACCGATTAAATATGCCCCAGGTTATTGCTTTCAAAATGTTTTTATGGTGTTACATAACACATTTCATTTTAGAAACATCTGTTTTACTACGTAATGCTAACGCTAATATATCCAGAATGATAATTCGTATCTATTAGTGTTAGAGAAACATGTTTTATATTTTGTTCTTTTATATTACTAATACTAGCAAAAATATTCATATTGACTTCCTTATTCGATTGTGCTTGGGAAGCTTGGCCTTGTCGTAGTACAAAAATCTTGCATTAGTAATAGGTTTAAAAAAAAATTTTTGCGTAAAAAGGTTCATCAATCTTTAATTTTTTTTTCAATTGAACAAAAACGAGAAACAATCAGATAGGTCAATTAAACATGTCCTCTTTTCGTTTCATTCGCTGTTTTGCTACACGTACAAGAGCACCGAAGACCTCAGCATTTGTCTTCGGTTCAATGACGCCACTTTCGACTGTTTCTGTATCTTTTCGTAATCGAATTTTCCCTTCTGCTCGCAGTTACACTGCTCAAACCACGGAAAAAAAAGGCGGGAGTGGTGCTTTATTATGGATTGGTGCTGGTCTTATTGCAGCAGGTGCAGGCTATTACTTTTTCGTTTATCCCGAAGCTGGTGTAAAAACTCTTGTCCCCGTAAACAAAGAACCTGATTATCAAAAAATTTATGATCAAATTGCTGATATTCTTGAAGACAATGATTGGGATGATGGTTCATGGGGACCTGTATTACTTCGTTTAGCATGGCATGCTGCTGGTACTTATGATAAAAACACAAAAACTGGTGGTAGTAACGGTGCTACCATGAGATTCACACCGGAATCTGATCACGGTGCAAATGCTGGGTTAAAAGCAGCGAGAGATAAACTAGAAATTATTAAAAAAAATAATCCGGAAATATCATATTCAGATTTATGGAGTTTAGCGGGTGTTGTTGCTGTTCAAGAGATGGTGAGTTATAAATAATAAAGGGTGTTCAAATAAATACTAATATAACTTATTTCATTCTTTTATAGGGTGGGCCTAAAATTCCATGGATACCTGGACGGTAAGTTTCATGGTTAAGTTATCATTAGGTAATACTTACGTTATTTTAACTTGCATCATCATTCTGCATTATTGATTTGATAATAATAACAGTAAGGATGCCGAGGCTGTAGCTTGTTCGCCAGATGGTCGTCTTCCTGATGCTTCTAAAGGGTCATCTCATCTTCGAGACATTTTCTATCGCATGGGATTCGATGATCGGTAATTTTATACTATTTCATAACAAATCTGTAATAATGATCTTTTATACATGTAAATTTTTATAGTTACTTTACCACGCAACTATCAGATCTTAATCATGATCAACCCGAAATATTCTTATAAAATATAAATAATAAACCTTTCCTCCACAATCATATAAAATTAACTAAATTATCATTTTTTTAAAATATAGAGAAATCGTCGCACTTGCTGGAGCGCATGCCCTTGGAAGATGTCATCCAGATCGATCAGGTTTTGAGGGACCATGGACTTCGAGGTTTGAAATCAAAGTTTGAACAAAAGAAATTTATAAATTTTGATCAAAAACATGATTTCTTTAAACCTTTAATAAGCATTTAATAACAAGTTGGCACATAATATTCTATCATTAAACTTACATTTTGCGTCCATACATTTGCGATCACAAGTCCCATAATGTTCACCAATGGATATTACCAAGAACTTTTAGGGAAGAAGTGGGTAGAAAAAAAATGGAAAGGACCAAAACAATTCATTGATAAGGAAACAGGTATAGTTGAATTTCTTTTAATTGTTTTGATAAATAAAGTTATTAAATAGAGTTTTTTTTATATAGGTGAACTCATGATGCTTCCCGCAGACCTCGCCTTTATTCAGGTATACTACAGCATTATTTAACAAATCTACATATACATATATTATATATATGTAATTCTATATCTTTGTTGTTACTTAAATTTAGGATAAAGCCTTTAAGCCATACGTGGAACAATATGCAAAAAATGAAGAGTTGTTTTTCAAAGATTTTGCAGCAGCGTTTCATAAACTTGAAGAACTTGGTGTACCAAGAACTGGTGATGAAAAAGTTTATTATTTTAAAACTAAAGAATAATTTCATTTTGATTTGAGAATGGTTATTATGAAGATAAAAAGAAATCTTTTAAGAGACTAGTAGATATTCTTTTATAAATAAAATAAATATACAATATTCTATTTAACGTGTTTTCATTCAAATGAAAGAATTAATGTTTAAATTTTGCCAAACAATTACACAATAATTGAAAACGTATAATTGGTAAGTTCAATACGACTATATACCATGTCGCGAAATAACACCCACCTACGCGTTATTTTGAATATATGTTATAAGAGTCAATTCCATTTATATCCGATTTACTTTAAATAAATTGATTCATTTTGATATTTGGAATAATATGAATTCGGTTTATTCTGAGTAATCGAATTTGGTTTAAGTTCGGTATGGAAGAGATTCATCTTATGTAGTTTAGGCATAAACAGGATTCAATCAATTTGTCACTTAAGAATGATTAAATAAAACTGGGGATATTATATAACAACACTCTAGTCTGGTTCATTTCATTTTGGTTTTTAAAGTCTATAGTTTTGAGACTTAACTAAGTCTAGACTGTCCTCAATTCCAGACTAATCTTAGGACTAGCTGTGGTCTATTAATTTAGATCAGACTACATAACATCCCTAATTACAACCTTAACTGAAAATGAGATGATTTTATTATAATCTTAAACAGAATTTCAAATATTGAAATATTGAGAGACGCGTGCAATAATGCCTACAGATGCCGTAATTAATTACAATCTACTTTAAATCATATTTTTTATATTGAAGTAATTAGGTTACGACCTAATTACGACAATATGTCTGCATCTATGATAATGCCTAATTAATGTAAAAAAGGGTTGGATTATGTCTTTTGGCCAATATACTCTTCCAGCTTTTGCTGAAAAAAATCTTAATAAAGGTTTTGACTGTCTGTTATTGATACAAATGTTATTGCGATCTTGCTCAAATCACTACATTCGAGTCTAATATTATTAGGCTCAAAACTTTTCAAATTAATACTTAGTATCTTATTCCACTTATGTTCTGTATAAGGACTGGCACTTTCTGCAATTGTTCCCGCAGATCTCTTCAATATTCAGATATTACATGAGTAATAATTTATTAATTTATTTCATATAATTTCTTCCTTATGATATTAAGTAATTGTAAAAAAAAAACCAATATTAGACCTTTTAAATATGGGAATTATTTTACTAATTATTTCTATATATTATTTAATTACAATGTAAATATGTAAGTTATATATCAAGTCAGGAAAGTTCTAGTAAGACTAACTTGTAATTCACCCATTTTCTTACAACTAAGACACATCAACGGCATACCCAATAATGTAAATGGTGGAAGTGCACATATAATCAGAAAGCCAGCAGAAATAAGAAATGTAATCATTACGGTAGGTTTAATTATTACAAAATAAAGAAAACAACCCCAAGTATATTTATCTGTACATAATAAGACGGCAAATCTTATTCGTCCAATTTTTTCGTTTGAAACTCTAAGTATCGGTGGTAATATATCATCTTGATGAATTGTGAAACATTTTCCAGGTTTTGTACATGATTGTGCTGTCAGTACTTCCACTCTTCCTAGCGCTCTGAAAAATGTTGGTAATATAAAATCAATAAAATAACAATATTATCTATTCAACTATATATTTGTAAAGATAACTTAAATTGAATACCTCCAGCTCCAAGCGGTCCATATACACCAAAAAAATCCGAGGGGTGGAAAAATTAAAGTGGGAATTGCTATAATAAACGTAACCAAAATCCATACTGCACAAAATGCCGAAAAAATTGGCGAAAAAAAAATAAAATATGCAAGACTAGCCCATCCTTCTGGTTCTTTAACATTTGACCATAATGAAGTACAAAAATCATCAGTTTTTACATGGTCTACTACTATTACATTCGCAGAGCTTTGATGAGGCTCATTCACATTAGTAGCCGTTCGAGGCTCATTCATAGTTATCGTAAGTACGTTATTTTAAAGATACTAAAATGAACATTCAACAAACGTACATAAGTACGTAAGTAACTTTTTAAGAGCCATGTCGCACCAAAGTTCCTTTTTGAGATTTTATTGTTACTGTTAAACCTTCAACATTTTAAATCTCTATCATTGGGTTCACAAAAAATCTCCCGCATAACTTTAGGGAGTTAGGGGTGTTAAAGTTCCATTCGGTCAGTCAATCAGAAATTTGAATGTTAAATGGACTAGAATTTTAAAAGTTCAGTATAGAGTGTTTAATGAGATCGGAACAATCTTGGAAACAAGTAGTTATGGTAATAATGTCAAGTAATTCTTCACTAGTTAGGTGATTAAAATGTTGCTAGCTAAGGCGTTGAGGTGGATAAATATCTCTTAATTCTTAAATCTTTTTGTTCTTTATTGTAGCATTCACTATCCCTCTAACCTTTCCTTTAGATTTTCGAGTTTCAACAATATATAGCCTTCTTTGCGGATTCTTCGTCAATCTCGTGCAGCAGAATAAACCTTTACGAGTTCCTTTAGTCCAGGGTAATTGATAATAAAAATGCGCAGATCATGATAAAAGATAAAACCTGAATCCTCTTTTAAAACTCTAAAATCCACTTATACTCTTATCTCAGGTATATTATATAGAGGCTTAAAATGTTATAATAAAACTTATAATAAAAACATATGAATTTACTATAAACTTTTAACTTAAGATCCTTTTTAATTTAACTAAGCAATTTAAAATTAAATTTCGCATTATATATAATCTAAAATTTTGCTAAATTTGTATAATTTGAAAATGTAACTTTACCAAAAATAAAATATTTACAGATTTTAAAGTAACGAGTATATGTAAAATTATACTTTGAACAACTTTACTTAGGTGAAAGTAGTTACTTTAGCAAAATATTGTGTTAGTTAAATGTTGAAGTTAAAAATTTTTTTATTAATATAATCTATTTTTATTTCTTAAATGATCTTGTTCTATATAAAATTTAAAAAATTTAATATAATTTTTTTTTTAAAAAAAAAAGTGAGGTCTTGTTCTGTTTCTTTTATTTAAAATTTTTTTTTAAATATTAAGGTAAGTATTTGTAACTCAGGATTATTGATAGTACATTTAGCTAATAGTTGCATTACAACCACAAGGGGAAATCATAAAAAAAGTGTACAACTACTCACTTATACAACTTTAGTCATTGTCTAATTTAAGTAGTCTGCTCAAAGGTTCTATACTAGCTGTCATATCTGAAACCTGCTTGTAAGTTTCTTATTTAAACATTCTAGTTCCTGTATCCACCTGCCTACTTACATTTATCAATAATCCTAATTGATATTAATAAAAATATACTATGATTATTAACAGTTTACTTATATAGAAAATCTTTGATCTTGTATTAAACCTTCTAGAATTTTTTGTATTACATTCTTATAGCTGATCTGATTATATTATAACTGAAACTAATATTTGTAATCAAGATATATTATTAAATTGTTATGTTTTTATAGAGTTTATCTCAATCCTAGTACTTATTTTATAACATATTCCTATTATTTTAGTATTTAATTCAAATTTTATCAAGTTTTCAGTTTAGATAGTTCAGAAAGATAAGTACAATCATACTTTTGATTTATATGTTCTCTGTTATATAATCTTTTTCTTTATTATTCTTTTTAGAGTTTTAGCAATCTTATTAATTATAATGGTTTCTTTTCAAAGACCAGTATATTACTTAACTTTACAAATTCTAGTTCTATTTCTTAGGTCTAGTTTTTATATTAATATTGTCAAAAATTCAAACTATCTTTCTATTCAGATCTTTCAAATAGGTTTCTGTTTTCTTAGTTTCTATAATTTATACAGACATGAGGACTTATCACAAATTTATACTACTCTACAAAATATAATTATTATATAAATATTATATAATTTTTTAGTTATACTAGTATAATATAAGTAATAGATATTTAATTTTAATTAATAGTAGAAAACAGTTAACCATAATATAAATAGAATTTCAAATTTTTGTTAATATTAGAATTTGAACTTTAGACCTGTCACTTGAAAATTGATAATATAATTACTTTACTATGTTATTATGCCTTTATGTTTCTTTTATTTAATATATAATTACATTACAAAAAAACTAATTTATTTTTTTTTTTGCTATTAAAATAATTTTTTTGGTCTTTTAACTTTATTAATAACTTTTTTGATAATATGATTCTATGAACTACTATAAAAAAAGTGTACAATTGGTTATATGTATAAGTTTTCTATATTACCTATTTAAGTAATTACTTAAAGGATTTCTATCAATTACTATACCTAATACTCCTGCTTGAGTATTTCATTTTAAACCTTCTAAACCTGCATTTATATTAACATTACTGGGTTATGTTCAGGTTATTGTTTCAATTTTAGAATTATTTTATTTTTAAAATAAACCTTTTAAAGCCTTCTGTATTTATTTTTATAGTTGATCTAAGCATTATTATAACAGAACTAACATCTGTAATTAGAGTTTTATCTTTAACTACTATGCTTTTGTAAAATTTACTTGAATACTAACATCTACTTTATAGCATATTTCTAGTGCTTTAGTATACTTCTGTCTGTTTTTCAAATTTCTAATTCAGATAGTCTATATAGAATTACAACTAATATATTGGTATATTAAGTTGGTCTAATATCTTTTTTCTCTAGTTCATATCAATAACTTAATTGATAGTACTTCTGAAACTCTTAACTCAAAGGTTCTTGACAATTTAGATACTTTGACATTAGTGTTTATTTTTAGTAGTCTAGTCTTTATAGTAGTACTATTAAAGATCTGTAATACTTTGACATTGGTGTCTATTTTTAGTAGTTTAGTTTTTATAGTAGTACTATTAAAGATCTGTACTATTTTTCTATTTAGGACTTTCTAAATAGATTTTTTGTTTTCTAATTTCAACAAATTTATATAGTTATAAGAATTTATCTAGAGTTTGCAATACCTGATGCTGGTTTGCATTCTTTTATATAACTAATTACACAGATGTTTTATAACCTGTCAGTCATATTAATACAATCACTATTACAAGTATCTTAATCTAATTATTAGAAATAGTTGCTATAATATAAATATTATATAGATGATTATTTAAATTTTCATTATTTACAGAATTTGAATATTCAATTTACCATTTAGAGAGTTGACAACTTATTCATTTTACTAACTTGTCACATTCTATTACTACCTTTATTATGTTTTTAATTACATATATATAACTTGTATAATAATGAATATATAACTAACTATTTGTATAACTCTTAGTTGTTTATTTAAATATTTTTTTTTTTTTTTTTTTTTTTTTTTTTTTTCCCTTAAGCAGTCACGGTAGTACTTTATTAAACCATTTGTAGCTACATT